TCTCAATTCACCAAAAATTTATTTCCAAGTGAATGTGAATGTAACAAGTTTACGTTTTCGTTTTCATGTTTTTTAACTATTATTCACCTCTCGTAAAAAAAACAAAATGTGAATGTACTAACATCTAATGCAATTGGATTTTATTTAGGTTGGCACAGCTGTGACAAATGCTTTAATCAATGCGCGGAAAGCTGTGGATAAGTCTTCTGCAGCTGAAGTTGAAAACGTTCCCATACTTTCAACAAGTGTTGCCTATGGTGTTTACATGGCAGTTTCTAGTAATCTCAGGTGGGATAAATATTATGGACACCTGTTTTTTTGGCTCTTATTAGAACTAGAATTTTCTTTAGGAAAATATTTAACTTTAATTATTTCCTAGAGCATGATATTTCTTAGTTATGATACTGGAGGAAGATATTTTGGCGTAGCAATTGGTTGTATTCCCATTTCCCATCAAATGATACGTGTGATCGTGTACTCATGGTTAGAAACAAACTCCATAAGTTGCTGCACATCTACTGTTATGTGCTATGCGAACTGTATCTAACCTTGCCCTTATTTTTGATGCAGACAATTCAAGCATCATATGAATCATGACAAACATCTAATCATTTTTCTAAGTTTTCCAAATAGTGCATTTTCTTTAGTGTTTAATAAGGTTTTTTTTTTTTATATTCCTGGTTTGAGTTCTCTGACTGCTGGGGATCCATGGAAAAGACTAAGGCAATGTTGAGAAGAAATGAATTTTGTTTGTTGAATTCATTTGGAAATCAACTCTTAGTTTAATTATGAGAGAATGGAAATTCTGCACAAAGCATAAAAAGATTGAGCTCCTAGACAATTCTAAGGGGAATTGGAACAATACATCTCCAATTTAACTGAAGTACCTAGTCTTTTTAGTTAACATTGTGTCTAAATGCTTTATGAAACAAATATATTGAGGGCCTTCTCTTTTTCATCAGGTACCAAGTGTTGGCAGGTGTAATAGAACAACGCATTTTGGAGCCCATGCTGCATCAACACAAACTTATGTTGAGTGCAATTTGCTTTGCTGTCCGAACAGGCAATACATTTCTGGGTTCATTGTTGTAAGATCCTATTCCTCTATCTTGAGTTACCTATCATAGGGGTAATATTTTCCACCCACCCTTCAATTTTTACAATTTTGATTTTGCTTTGGGCAGGTGGGTTGATTATGCTCGTTTAATAGGAATTCAAAAAGCTCACGAGGATAAAGAGGCATTGGCTTGATTCATGATCAGTTTTGTAAGTTTTGTAAACCACTGTATTTCCAAAAAAAGAAAAGTTTTGAAAACCACTGTTGGTCATGTTCCAAGATAAGATAGAAGCAGGTTTAGTTTAGGCGTCTTACTCTCAATTATCTCTGTTGTATTTTGGTTGGCAACAAAAATACTGGAACATAGGTGAGGGACTTGATCTTGGTGTTTGGTAAACATGAACTTTATAGTTTTGATGAACTATCTGCATAGCATTTATTTTTAGGGAAACTTTTTGCACAGTATTTGATGTAATGATATATATATATATATATATCCCTTATTTGGCCGAATCTCCTTTGGTAGTTACTTTCGCATCTTCCAGATTTAGATGTACTGAACTCCAGCAACAACTTTGAAATATGGTAAAGACTTTGTAGTTGATTGGAAGGATCTGATAACAAGACCTGGTATTACATTATATTTCAACAAAAGACCGAGTATTGCATTAACATTCTTCCAAAGCTTGAGAGAACCTTGAAAGTAGAAATTTGGTCATGTCTCGAAAGGCACAAATTTGAGATGGACTTTTTGTTTTCTTGAGTGTAGTGTATGATGCACTCGAGGCCCAAAGATATTGGTTAACCAAAGGAAACAAACCTAGGAGTTGATACATGCTATCACCAACAATCGACTGGGAGATAAGTTTCAGATGGTTAGGGTAAAACCTACTACATTCATGGGAACGGATAATGTGAAATATGATTGCATAGCCATATATTTTTTGATTGTATTAAATACAATTAAATCTCTATACAGTAACAACTACTAAATAGTCAAATTTTATAACCTCAAAGGGTTTTCTTTTGGAATGTTAGTGATCCAAAGAAACATTGTTATACAGGAGACACTAAAAGAACTACTGAAATTTTTTATTGAGTTATAGACATTGCAAAAAAAGTTACTTTTTCTTCTGATGGTGGAGTATTTGTTTCCCCCTAGTATATAGCAGTTGACCAGTTTGCTTAGGCAATTATTTCATCCTTTCCACAAGCTCTCAACTTGACATCCAGCACATTAGAGCTCATCATGTATTCAAGGTCACAACATTCTGGTCTTCCAGCCTAGAAGTAAAAACGTACACAATGGTTCACAAAATTAGTTGTATTAATCCATATGGGAGATGAATCTGTCAGAAAAGGCACAAATTTTCAAGTTGCTTATATTATACCTCATGATCAAAATAAAATATCTCAACTTAGTGAAAGATGGGAAAACTTACTTCCTTCTTCTTCCTAGGAGAAAAAACTTGAATTCTTTTAATGTCATCAGCAGAGTGATTGCCAGTTAATGAACAAGCTGGCAAATTCCGTGGTGATTTTCTAGTATAGACAGTAACAACTTTGTTTACTTCAGTGTTCTCTTTAATAGAGTCAAAGAAAAACACGTGAGGTGATTCACATGAGTCGTTACGTGATTGGCGGATATTAAACATGTAGAATAGGGGTTTACTCCAAGGCCTAAATGTCTCAATAGGCCTCTTCAAAACACTTCTGGGCAATATGTTTTCATAGATATTAGCTGAGTAACCCCATGAAACAGAGATAGACCAGTTGGCTTGCTTCTGGTAGCAGATACTTTGTTGAAGCAAGCGAGACTGGTCAACTTTTGCAGCTTTCATGAGATGGTTTATGGATTCTGAGCGGTTCATGGAAGGGAAAATTGGATCTATGGTGTCAAAATGATGGAGACTGATGAGTGGAGTTTGGGGGTGAGCTGATAGCAGACCTGATATATCGCCACGTAAATCTATCTGCATAAATAGACAAATTGTAATTATAAAATTTGGTTTGTTTTGGATTATAGATTGAACAACTGTATCATTGCAGTTAAGTAGAAATACCTGGTGAATACCCATTTGGCGAGTTAGATCAACTCCCAAATCAGCCAAACAAGAACTGGAGAGATAATCACTATACCCCAAGTAAGCATATCTCTCTATACAAGAGTCAAGTTTAGTGACCAAAACTTTCACAAAGAGTAACTTAAAGCATACCCAGCTCCACCAAATGCCATATCAAAGACACATAAAGTTAGACTGGACATTTTCTGAGTTCATCCCAATATATAATACTTTGTATGATCATACTCCCTAGAGTCTCAACCAAGTTATCC